CCCCCCCCCCAGCCTCATAATGTGTGGGGCAGGGAGTGGGTGTGTGGAGTAGAGGGGCAGGGGGTGAGGCATAGGGGGCCCTAAGCAGCTACTCACAGGCTGGAACTCTGCCAGCCTGCAAGGGAAAACCCATGGTTTTCCCCCACTTTTCTCCTTTAAAGGAGAATCCATTTTTAAAGTTTGATCTGTTTTTAAAATTTGCCCACGATCCCTTCATATAATTCGTGAGACCCACAGGTGGTGAAACACTATCCAACCCCCTGCTCAAACCAGGACCATCCCCAACTCAGCCAGAGCTTTGTCTAGCAGTGTCTTAAAAGTTTCCAAGAACGGAGATTCCACAACTTCTGTGGATTACCTGTTCCAGTGTTTTACTACCCTCTTACTGAGATGATTTTCCTAAATATCTAACCTAACTTCCCTTGCTGTAACTTAAGGCCATTGCTCCTTGTTCTGTCATCTGCCACCACTGAGAACAGTCTAGCTCTATCTTCTTTTGAACCCCCCTTCAGGTGGTTGAAAGCTGCTATTAAATCCTCTGTCTTCTTTTCTCCAGACTACATAAGCCCAGTTCTCTTAGCCTCTTGTCTAAAGTCTGTTCCCCAGCCCCCTCACCATTTTTGTTGCCCTTCACTGGACTCTCCAACTTGTCCACAACCTTTCGGTAGTGGGGGGCCCAAAATTGGACACAGTACTTCAGAGATGGCCTCACTAATACTGAATAGAGGCAAATAGTTACTTCCCTTGATCTGCTGGCAATACTCCTACTCATGCAGCCCAGTATGTGGTTAGCTTCTTGGCAACAAGGGCACACACTGCTGGCTCATATTCAGCTTCTTGTCCACGGTAACCCCCAGGTCCTTTTCTGCAGAGCTGCTGCCCAGCCAGTCAGCCCCCAGCCTGTACTGGTGCATGGGATTTCTCCATCCTAAGTGCAGGACTTTGCCCTTGTTCTTGTTGAACCTCTTGAGATTTCTTTTGGTTTAATCCTCCAGTTTGTCTAGGTCAGGGGCTGTCAACCAGGGCATACTTGGGAAGGCCCTAGGGGCTACGCATGGGCAGGTGGGGATGTAGTGTTGCCACCCACCACCCTACACTGCCAACTCCCAGAAGCAGGGGCGGGTTGAGGGCAGCAGTGCTGCCCAGCCAATCAGACATCAGTGGGGGGGGGGGGGG